CCCTTTTTTTTTTTTTTTTTTTTTTTTTTTTTTTTTTTTTTTTTTTTTTTTTTTTTTTTTTTTTTTTTTGTGATGATGACGGCGCAGTTGAACCTTGCTCTCATGCCATGTCGACTTTGCAGGGATACTTTCCAGCCACCTTTGTGTCCTATGACTTGTCAGCCCGCGCAGAGCCGACCGTACTCAATGACCCTGCCGCCTTGCCCTCGGGTCAAAGCGAACCGGCCAAATTCAATGGCCGCTCGGCGAGCACCAGCACGGTTGCATCCACCCTCGCGGAAACGCCTCTACCACCTCCACCCGCGGAAGAAATCGACCAAGAGCTGTTTGTGCGCCTCGAACAGATGCTGCTGAGTGCCCAACCCGGAGATCAAGCCATATTGCCGCAGCTTGATGAGCTGCAGCGCCAGTGCGATGATCAACTGTCAGTCCCTGGCCATTACCTATCGACGGTCCTCTTGAACTCATTCTCTTCCAACAGCCCTCTAATTCAGGCCCCTCACATCAATTTTTCTTGACCGGCCCTAGGCCCCTGTTGGAGACGCGAGTGCAGCAGTACGACAACCGTTTGGAGCGAATGAACAAGCTTATGGAGCACTACAACCTTTTGATGACGCTCTACGAGCGTCTGTCAACACAAGCACCAGCACGAGCTACTGTGTCTCACCGGGCGCGCATGCATCCGTCGCAGCCCCCACCCCAATCCCAGTATCCACCCCAATCCCAGTATCCTCAACAATCCCAGTATCCCCAGCAGTCCCAGTATCCTCAGCAACCCCCGTATCCACAGCACCCCCAGCATCCGCCTGCGGGCGGCGCCTACACAGCCCCCGACGCCGTTGGTGGTTACCCCGGCGGACCTCCTGCTGGACATCCAGCGGGGGCACCTCCGCCACTTGCACACCAGTATGCTTCCCACTCGTCTCCGGGCCAAGGTCCTTATAACCAGCCCCAGACATTCGGCGCAACCAACTCCCAAACCGGACAATATGGCGGACCGGTGCCGGCATCTCAAGCTCAAGCTCAAGCCTTCTCAGCCGTGCCTAGCCACCAACCGTACCCCGGCGCACCACAGCCAGCGTCATCTCAAACAACCGATTTTCGTCATCAACAGCAGGTACCACCGCAGCACCAAGGACAACAGATGATGTACCAGCAGCAAGTACCTCCACAGCAACAAAGTGCCTCAGCTGGTCATCATTCGGCGGCAGGACCCAGCCCAAGCGCTGAATATCCACCATCCAATCACGGCTATACGGTACCCTATGGGGGCCCGCCTCAGGGTAATTATTCCCAGCAATACAACTGAGCGGCCTGTCCCATCTATCAGTTGCCCGAGACCATTGCCTCACAGTTGTGTAGATCCCCCCTATAATTCAATTCACAACTGATTCCGGTTCTAACCCATCGCACAAGAATTCCCATGTCAATTAGAAAGTCGACAGACAAACAAATACCAGAGGAAGAAACAGAACCAAATGTGTGGATGGAAAACCACGACGGATATCTCAAAATGTCAGGACTAGCACCAACAATCCTATTATTATCGTCCGCTCACCTTTTTCGGCTGCCTCCGCTTGAGCAAGCGAGGACAAACGAAAGCGGGAGGGGGGAAAAATAAAAATAAAAAAATATTACACAACCAAAGTGATCTCCTTTACTGCTCAGGCACAACAACATCTGGGGCCTGTTGCAAGTTGGCGAGGCGTCGAATTTGCTGTGTCACATCGAAAGCAACGTTGAGAGCCACTTGAACTTGGGTATTGACACCTCTGTCCGTGTGTGCTTTCCCAACGGTAGATGTGACACGAAGCATGGCCTGACAAAGCTGGAGCAAGAGGTCCACCATGTGTTGGTAGGCAGCAGCAGCGCGTTCCACGTGTTGGTGACAGGCCTCTTGATAGGTATCCAGGTTTGTTGTGGCCGCGCGCACCTTGGCGCTCCAAAAGCTAGAGCTTTGCTGCATCTGTTGTGTTAGTTCTTCCACCTTTGCAATCCAATAGCGCTTCTCTGATGGGTCAGTTGGGCCGGGCTTGTTATTTGAAGGTCGCGATGGGCTCGGTGGCAAAGGCTCGAGACCTGCTGGGCGCGGAATGGCTTGAAGAGCCCGGAAAAGGGGCCACGTTTGACTGGCCCGCTGCAGCTGCTGCAGTTCTGTTTGGAGGCGCGCCAAGTCCGGCGCTTGCTCCGGGTCATGCCGAGCAAGTGCCTCGGAGACCTGCTCAGCTACAAGTTGAAGCTCTGCAATGCTCATGTCATTGACGTCCCAGTTCACAACCGAATCGCGCGAGCGAAGCGGCGAGCCCGTGAGCCGAGATGCCTTGATGGCAGGCGTCTCCTCAAGACTCGTATCTAGCAGTTGACCTCGCAATTGCTCATTTTCAGCCAGAGCCACGTCTAACTCCCGACGAGCCGCCTGCGCCTGCTCCTCCAGCTCCTGCAAAAAGTCCCGTTAATGAGCAAAGCATGGCGGGGTCGTCTCATCAGTCTTCATGATTAAGTCAAAGGACCCGAAGCGTGGGCGCCAATGATGTGCAGGCACGCATCTTTCCCCCACCTTGACGTGGCGGTCCTGCTCGCGACGATTTGACATTTGCTGGTCATAAAGCTCTTGAAGTTGGCCTGCACCCAGAACAAAATCAAGCCGGGTGAAAAACACATATCCAGAAAGATTATCACACAAGTGGGCTAGAGGTCCATGCCTCCACCCGACACGATAGCGCTTGAACATCAAGCTTGGGCGGTGCAATGTGTCGACGCACCGGTGGCACTGTCCAGCTCTTCGTCCTTATCTGCAATGAGCGTATCAGTACTTGAGCGCAGATCCTAAACAGAACAATGATGCAAATGCTTGTTAGTCACAAAAGACGCTGGGACTCATACATCACGCAGCCATCAAGGCATTTCCATTCACTCCTTTTTTTTTTCTTTCTCTTTTCTCTTTTTTTCCCCCTTTCCCGCCCCCATCCTCCCCCCACCCCCGGGCTCCAGCTGTCCCTTCCCACATGTCCATGAGATCTCAACTCACCACAAGGTCGCGTTGCAACTTGTGATTTTGCTGGCGCAGGCGTTCGACCTGCGACTCGTAGCGAGTCTTGCTCTCACCGAGTTCCCGCAAGAGCTCTCCCTTCATGCCATCGGCCTGATTGGTCAACTTTGTCAGAGCATCGCGCAAGAGTGCGGCCTGTGCTGCTTCTGCATCTCGGTCCTGCTCAGCGGTGGTCAGCTGTGCTTGCAATGCGCCAAGCTGGGTCTCGAAATCGAGCGCGGCCTGCTGGAGTTGCTCCATATCTTTGCGCGCATGCTCAAGTTCAAGGGCTTGCTGCTGCAACAAGGCAGCCTGTTCTGCCACAACCGTGTCAAACTGCCGGCGACCAGTTTCCATTGTCGTTTCCAAGTCTTGCGTTACGTCTTGTTCCTGTTCAAGCAACGCGCTGAGTCGATTGTTTTCGGCAGTAAGTTCTGCTGCTGCAGCGGCCACATCTTGCAAGCGCACATTTTCAGCTTCAAGCCGCGCCAGGCGATCTCGCTGAACTACCCCGGCACGCAGAGCCTCTTCTAATTGCTCGGCTAACTTGGCCTTGTCTGCTTCAAGCTGGTGTGCGGTCGCATCAAGGGCACCATTGTGTGCAGGGGCAGACCCCGCAGCGCGCAGCTGTTCATGCATGCCCTGGTTCTCCTCATGCAGCTGCGTAACGTCAGCATCCACGGCTTTGCTGTTGCCGCTGGTCAATGCCAGAAGAAGATGCTTGTTTTCATCCTCCAACTTGCGGATGGTCTGCTTGTAAGCCTCAAGTTCAACCTGCATTTCTTGGATTGAAGCGTTTGAATTGGAATTGGACTCGGTGATGTCGCTACTTGCGGCTGCGTCAACGGGGGATGAAGATTGAGAGCCATTACAAGTGCCATTCACGGCGCCGTTCTCAGTGCCGTTTCCAGTGCCGTTTTTCGTGCTGCGAAGACGACCCTCAGTTGCTGTCAGAAGGTCGGCCTCTGATAGATCCTCGCTCTGCGCCAAGCCAGACACCTCAGCAAGTCGGGCCCGCAAGCGAGCTCGAGCTCGCTGAAGCTCGACCACTTCGCCAGGCGGTGACGCATCATCGGGTGGGCCGTCGTCGGGGCCAATGATTGCTTGAGATGCTTCGTGAGGGAGCGGCGAAGGCGTATGCTCGGCGGCAGTGGCATTGGCTGCCTCAGCAGCATGTTCAAGGTCAACGCTATCCATAGAAGTGCGCTGGCGCTTTTCCTTGCGCAACTCAGTCAAAAGGCGCGTGTTTTCCACGTACAGGTCACCAATACGAGCTGTGGCTTCATTGAGGGCAAGGGACAACTCCTGGAACTTGGTGTTGACTGAGCGCTTGTCCAATTCCAGCTGGCGATTGGCCTGGCGCAAGACATTTAGTCCCTTCTCTGCCTCGAGCAATCGGTGGTGTTCGCGATCGTATGACTCGCGTAGCTCCTGCATCTGCGTGCGCAGCTGCTCGCGCTCCTCCTCCAGCATTTGTAGTTCGTGGAGGGCATTAATGTCCCCACCAAGGGCAGACATGTGCTCAGCAACGGGTCGCAAGAGAGTGAGCGCTTGCTCCACTAGGCCTGCCTGATCAGAGCCAGGCACGTGACTACCATCCAACAACTCGGTGCCAGACATGGAGCGGTCCAAAATCGAGATGACGCGGCGGAGCGCTGTCTCCGTGTTCGTGTGAGCGCCCTCGTCGCCGGGTAGAATGAGCGAGGTTCGACGCCGCACGGAAGCATTGGCGTTCTGGGCGCGCTGCAGGGCCACGTACAACGACTCGTTGAGTCGGGCCAGGCCAGCTGACTGCTCTTTGATGTCAATCAGTCGCTGGTCGTGGCGAAGACGCTTTGCGCGCTCGTGGTGCAGCTTGTCCCTGAGACGCTGAGCTTGACGATCGTGGTTGGCTTGCATTTGCGCGATGGCTTGTCCATGGGCTCGTACGATCGTACCGTGATGGTTCATGAAAGCGTGCAGTTCTTGTTGCATGATGGCGATGTTGAGGTCTGACTCCTTGCCGGCTTCGGCAGCCTGTGTTGCAGCTACTTCTTGCGCCAACCGCTCGCGCGACTCGCTCTCGGCTTCCAACGTAGCAATATTTTTCTCGGCTTCGGCAAGCTGGGCGGTGAGTTGTTGGCAGCGCTCGTCTGCTTCCAAAAGACGATCAATCTCACGGCGCTGAGCCTGAACCTTGCCTACAAGGCTCTGTAGCTCATGGCTTTGCTCTTGGATGGTGGCCTGGTAGCCAGCGGTGGCGCGCCGAAGTGAGGCCATTTCAGCCTGTAGTTGCTCGTCCTCCATGCCACTGCTCTCCCGGCGACTGTTGGCAGACTCTGTTTGTCGAAAGCGCGAGAGCTCATCCTGGCCCTCGGAACAATCCGCGGCACCCGGTTGTTGCTCTGCGAGGAGGTGACGTTCGCGGATAAGGCCCGTGTAGCTGGAGTTGGAAGAGTCGGTGCGTGGACGATGATGCTGCAAGGGGCTAGGTACGGGGCTCGGAGAGGAGCGGTCCCGCGGGTGGCCGTTGGCTTTGACCGGCGAGGCTGGAGCACTATTGTTATTGTTGTTGTTGTTATTGTTGTTGTTGTACCGTTGGTGGGTGAGGCTTTGGAGAAGCAGAGTGCGATAGTCAGCCTCCACTTCTTGTAACTTCACGGCAATGGTGTCTTTGGCCTCGGCTTCCCGGACGAGTCGCATCTCCTTGACATGTAGTTCCTCTTGCAGGGCGTCATGCGATTCAACGAGCGCCTTCTTCTCAGCAATGACTTCAAGAAGTTGGGCGTCCTTGTCATCGAGCTGCTCCACGAGTTGGTCGGTTAGAGTGGCCACTTTTTCCTCGAAAAAGGACAGTTGTTGCTGCAGCTGGTGATTTTCGTCGGCTGCGTTGAATAGCTCAGTCTGCGCCAGTTCCAGGCTAGCGCGCAATTGCTGTATGTCAGCGGTCAAGAGCTCATGCTCGTCGTCGGCATGTACAACATCCGGTGCGGGCTCGGCCAATCGCAGTTTCAACGCCTGGTTTTCGTCACGGACACATCGGAGCTCCTTGGCAATTTCCTGGGAGAAATTTGAGAGCTCCTCATAACCATGTTGCTTGATTAAGGCTGCAGAGGCCATCTCGGACATGCGGAGGCGAAGATTGTCGGCCTCGCTCTCGGCCAACCGTTCGGCAGCTCGGGCTTGTTCAACGTCGACGGTGAGGCGCGAGATGATAGCGCGAGCAGCATCCTGCGCATCTTCGGGTATATAGGAGAGCAGTTCATCCAAGTGCTGACTACCGTGTTCCTCAAGATCGGCAATGTCTTGAATGGCGGGGAGTTCAGGGTCGTCCGCTTTGCGACTGGCAGCCAAGCGGCCGTGCAGATTAACGAGCTGCTTGCGAAGCTCCCAAATCTTGGCGTCCTTTTCCGTGAGGAGGTCCTTCACAGATTCAATACCGTTGCCACGAAGGGGCTCCGATGAGCTGGCGTTTGGATCGTGAGGGGTTCCTGGTTGCCGCTGGAGATCAAGCGAGCCTATCTCCATGAGAGCTTGACGAATGGCATCGCGAGCTTCGCCAAACTGCTGATGGAGCAGAAAGCGGTGATCTGTGTAGTCTCGGAAAGACTGGGCCGTCACCTCACGTTCCTGCTTGAGGGTAGCAAGCATGCCGGCAAGTTTGTGGGGCGAGAAGGAGAATTGTGGTGCCTCCTAGGTGCGCGTCCCAGAAGCGGCACGCGTGCAATGCATCGATGAGCCTGGCCGGTTGGTCATATGCACGTATTTTTGTGAAGGCTGGCTGGGCCTGTTTCTTTCCTGCCTACCTGCATGGCCGTGGTGAGGAGAATGCCGATGGACTTTGCATCTTGCACTGAGATGGGTTCGTCCTGGGCGACGGCGCGGTCCACCCAATTGACAATGGACTTGAGGGCCATGGTCGCTCTACCGAAGGAAGGGGGGGGAGAGGGGAAGCACGGGGCATGGGACATGGGGCATGGGGCATGAGTTGGAAATGTTTCACTGGACAACATCGCGTTTGGTTGCGGCACTCACGTCTTTATGGGAACCGGGTTCAAAGAGTGATCGAGCGGAGCACTGGGGGAGTTTGGCGCGAGCGCCGCTCCATCTTCGAAGAGCATGGGTCAAGGTCAAGCAAGACCAAGGAGGGAGCAGGTCCCCGCCCCGCGATCCGGGTGCGTCAGCAGATGAAGGCAAGGGGCAGGGGCGAAAGGGTGGCAGGAGGTGAGCAAAATAAGATTGTCAAGGCTGATTTGGAAAGGGTCAGCGTAGATGGCTTGCAAGACCAGGCAGAGGAGTCTTGAGCGCGAAGAAATGGGCCAGGTGCTCGTTTCGAGAAGAGGAGGTTGACAAGATGTGGTCGGCAACGATACAAGATGATGCGTGCCAAAGTCGGAGGTGGTGCGCTGGCGGTGAAAACAGGGTGATTTGGTTGCGTGACAAGGTGTGCAAGTATCGCGATGGTTCTTCGTGCCGGGCTCGCTGGACACGGCGCAACTGGCTCGAACGGACATGTGCTGGGCGCTCGCGTTGTATGCAGTGTATACCAGCGTGAAGCAACGCGGTGTGCTGTGTGCTGTGTGCTGTGTGCTGTGTGCTGTGTGTTGGGTGTTTGTGCTTGGGACTCGCTCGTCAGGGCGCGACCGTCGAGACAAAAAACAAAACAAAACCGTACCTTGTTCGTGTCCGCTAATCGTCCGCAGCACCCACACGACACAGGGCGGGCACTTCAAGAGGAAGAAGCCCCCGCGCTAAGAGTTGGGGGACGCTTGCACGACGAAGGAGCTACCCGCAAACGACTGGCTGTCGAGTCGTATGTTGCATGCCAATGGCCATGAGATGCAAAAAGGAAACAGTGCTGCTGAACACGGTCGGAAGAACGAACGTACGTCCAATTGCAGCTTCAGCTTGGTGAAACCCAATGCATCAACCGACAGGCACCTCCTGGCTCGGGTCTGCGTTGGGCTCGTCGTCGTGCAGAAAAAAAAAAAGCCAAGAGAGAGAGAGAGTTTGAGAGTTTGAGAGAGAGAGAGTTTGAGAGAGAGAGTTGAGAGAGAGAGTTTGAGAGAGAGTTTGAGAGAGAGAGAGTTTGAGAGAGAGTTTGAGAGAGAGTTTGAGAGAGAGAGAGTTTGAGAGAGATGGAGAGAGAGAGAGAGAGTTTGAGAGAGAGAGAGAGAGAGTTTGAGAGAGAGAGAGAGAGTTTGAGAGAGTTTGAGAGAGTTTGAGAGAGAGAGAGAGAACCCATCCACACACAACAAAGGGGTGCGGTACGGCAGCATCAGGAATTGGAGGCCTTGTCGTTGTCAAGGAGGTGTGCTTTTGGCAGTGGTATTTGGCAGTGGCTGTGGTAAGGGGGTCAGGGCGGCTGTGGATGCGTGCTCATGGCACGAGTGTTCTCCTGAATGATGTCGGGTATGGTTCCTACCGCAATGTTCCGTCCCGATGATTCGAGTCTGTGTGTGTGTGTGTGTGTGTGTGTGTGTGTGTGCGTGCAGAGGATACATGGCGATCCATCGCAGCCCCCACCTCCCCACCTCCCTGCCAGCCGTTGATATGCCCTCCCATGTCAGAAGACAAAACCTAATAAGCATCGCGCTTGTCGCAGACCTGCCACATGACCCCTGCCGCCATCGCCGACCTCCAGGCAGCGCTGCCATTTCTTCGAGGTCCATACTACTGTACCTTCTTCCTTAGAAACCCAAGCAGCCACCATCTGACATTGACCATTTACCATGGTAGCATAAACCCGACTGCTTTCGCATTCTGCCTGAAAATGATGACATTTTCAGTGGTGGTGTCACAAGGCAAGGACTTGTTGCAGCTTCCTCTTCACCTTTGTTTGTTTAGCCACACGCTCTTGTCTCTCTCTCTCTCTCTTTCCCTCCCTGGGTCTCTGAACCTTTACTAAAATCAGCAAGTAAACCTTTGATTACCCTCACTCACCCACACGCACTCTCTGGCCCATCCTGCTCTCTCTGCCTCTTTGATGTGTGACATTTATTCAGCCGCCGTCATTGCTGAACGGACAGCATCACACACGGACGGCGGGTGTGTGTGTGTGGCGTATGGTGAGGGCCCACGGGCTGGCTGGTTGGTGGTTTGGCCTTTGGCCGTGTCTCTGCATGTTTGGGGGGTGGGGGGTGGGGGGTGCTGGTGCCTCTGGTTTTGCTCGGATGGGTTGCAGCTTCGTGGAGATTGTGTTGTTTTGTGACGGCAGCCCAGCGCGTGCGTGGCTCAGACTTGACCTCACCGCGGACGCTGCACCAACCTGCCGCTTCGACTAGGCTTCATTGAGGGAAATTGCCCCGCTGTCGTCGACGCACCCCTTGATTTGCATGTCGGGCGGCCCAGCTTCTGCTCTTGCGATAGCGGACTGATATCTCTAAAAGGCTCAAAGACACAACAGGGGAACAACGGGGTCCGCCCCTGCCCGTGCACCGATTGCGGCCGCCCCTGCCCGTGCACCTATTGCGGCCATGGCAATGGCCCTCCGCTTGGTCGGCCTGGGGCAGGGTCACCGGGCTTGTTTGTGGACTGCGGTTCTCCTGCTCGTCCTCACCGTAACACGCGTCTCAGCCACCTGTTCTTACGGCACCTATATGAATGAGGGCGCCTGCACCCCCTGTCCAGCTGGTACGTCCCCGGTCTCACTGGTCCTTGATCCTGTCAAAAGCAACCATGTGGCCAACCAAACAGATGTGCAACTGCCTCAATATCCGCCCCTCACAAGCATGTTGTGTATCCTGCCGTGTACCTCTTGCGTAAATGGGTCTGGCCCCCCACCCATCCCGTGATGTTTTAATTTTATTTGATTGTTTTTAAATTTGTGCTTTCATAAATTATTCGACAGACTCATACCAAGACCAGGCCGCCCACAACGACACGAGCTGCACGGGCATGCAAACATGCCAGATCGGAGAATATGTCAGCCAGCCTGGCGATACCTCTTCTAATCGTGTTTGCCTCGAATGCACCGGCAGTTACAGTTCCTCAGTAAGCGTGCTCTCCCGCGCCTTTGCAGCCCCCGACCCCTGGACTTGCTGCGGCGTCGCGCGCGCCCGCAGCTTATCCTTTCTTAATGGTTGTCGCACGCGACCTGTTTCGTAGACAAATGCGGCGAGCTGCGTCACTTGGACCACATGTAGCCCCGGTACCTTTGAGGCTGCCTCAGGCACTTCGTCGACTGATCGCGCCTGTGACCGTTGTAGTTTGAATACCACCTTTTCTGGCCAGCCGAATGCCGTCCAGTGCGCCTTTCTGAGCAACTGCACGGCTGGCAAATTTGTGTCCCAACAGCCAACGACATCCACAGATCGAGTTTGCACTGACTGCAAAGGCGAGACCTGGAATGACCAAGTCAGTCGCCCTTTCCTTAGTTGTGACGATCGAACGTTTGGTTGGCGGTCTTTCTACCACTTTCCGCTCCTGATGAGACATGCCGCGTTGTTTCGTACCCATAGACCAACGTCGCTTCTTGCCGGACAGCGACCGTTTGCGCCCCGGGAACATACATTAGCACGCCTTTTACTCCCGTCGCCGATCGTGGCTGCACCAACTGCACCAACGGCCAATACTCTGATGAGGTTTGTTTGCTCTCGTTGCGCATCATGGCAAGCCCAGCTCTGCGGTCCACTGTCGACCCAGCCTCACATCAGATCCCGTCTTGCACTTGTACTGCAGAACAATGCTTTGTCTTGCACAGCCTTCTCCATGTGCGGTCTTGGCCAACGCCTAGCTGTGCCTGGCAGCTCGACCCAAGACAACACCTGCGATGCGTGCCCCGCTGGAGAATACCAGTCTCAGGCGGCCCATGAAGACACCTCTTGTTCCCCCTGGTCCTTGTGTCAAGCTGGCGAGTATGCTTCTGTCCTGCCCACCGCATCCTCCGACACTATTTGCACAGCGTGCGGGGCTGAAACCTTTATGAACGAAACAGCGCATCAAGAAACTGCCTGTTACCCCTGGGCTCGCTGCGGCAAGGGCGAGTACCTGCTTTCAGATGGCACTCCCAGCTCTGATCGCCAGTGCGCTGCCTGCTCAGCTGGAACTACGTACATGGATGAAGCCAATCACGTCCACACCTCGTGCAAGACCTGCGACATTTGTGCAGCCTATGAAGATGTGCGCACGCCCTGCAACGTGGTCAACAACACCGTTTGCGCCGATTGTCGTTGTCCAGCGGGTTATGCCAAGCATGACTGCTTGGCTGACTGCATGGTATGTCCCTTTTTGGATCGTAGTAGTCGCAGGAGTAGTAGTCATTGCAGTCGTCGTTTGCATTCTGTGCTGCGAGCGTGTATGATGCGAGCTTGTGCGTCATAGCTGACAAAGCCCATCGTTGTGCATTCTCTCAGCCTTGCCCAAGTGGCGCATTTCAAGCCGGGAATTACACGAAGCGCCTTCCTTCTTGCAGCAATTGTTCAGCGGGCACCTTTTCGGAAGAACCTGGCCAAGCCACCTGCACGGTGCGCTCCCAATCCTTTCTCATCAACCTGTCAGCTGGTTATTTCTTCCTTCTCAACCAACATGTACCACATTGGCTCACTCGCACCGCATCTGGATACTGTTGTTGCCACTTGCAAACCAAACACAGCTTTGCACAGATTCTTACGCTCCGGAGGAAGGCGCAACATCTTGCCAGGCATGCCCTACCTGTGGCGCCAATCAATATCTCTTGGGTTGTGGCGGTCCTTCGGTATGCGTGTTCCATCCCCTACGCGCACGTGTGTCACCGCATACGAAACCGCATACGAAACGCTGTGTTCTCCACTGCTGACGCATTCAACCCCTGGCGTCTGTTCTCAGCCGGGCTCGTGCCCATCGTGCTCGAATTGCACGGGAATCAACGAGTACCGCATTGGCTGTACGGGCAATAACGCCGGCACTTGTACTGCTTGTGAGGTACGATCTTCTGGTTTCTGTGTGATCGAGTCATTGCGCTTGCTTGTGTCAGCAGTCAAGCCAAGCGCGCCTGCCTCAAACCTGCCGCCGTGCATTGTTCAACCCTGTGCAGGCATGTCCATTTGGTGCTATCCGCACAGATTGCTACAACACCTTTTCGGGTGGTTGCACTGTAAGCTGGCGTCCCATTTGAAGTTTCGGCTTGTGCTTCAGTTTCAGTCTTTGGCATTTATGAGCAAGGGTGGTCAAATGCAATCTGAAAAGCTCAGTGGACATGGGCCTTTCACTTCAATTTGGCTCATGCTAGACGTGCGGAGAAGGAACATACAAGAGCAATGATTTCACCTGTGCACCATGCAGCTCGGGTACTTTCAACAACGTTTCGGGTCAAGAGGCTTGCACGGTGAGGAGCTTGTATTCAGCTTGCCATGTCGTGCTTGGGTTTGTCTTGCCTGCGTTACCTCCTCATCTTTGATTCTTTGATTTGGTCATGGACGTAACGAGCAGGCCTGTCCCGCCGATACATATCAACCAGCCAATAGAGCCGTGACTTGTATCACTTGCCCTGACATTTGTGAAGCAGGCTCATACTTGCACAATTGTAGCGGCTCATATCATGGAGACTGTCGCAGTTGCCCCGTTGAACACTGTCTCCGAGGCCAATTTCTTCAAGGCTGCTCGTACACTTCTCCCGGCGCTTGTCAGATGTGTGCACCGTGCAGCCCAGGCTTTGAACGGCAAGCCTGCACCGGTACCTCACCTGGTTATTGTGCGGTACGCCTCGCCTCAAGCCCCACCTGGCTTGACAACTTAACTGCACCACCGGGCTTACTCGTCTGTGTGCGGACATCCTTGCCAACTTGAAAAAAATAGGCATGCTTGGCGGGTAAATATTCCGATGGACAAGCGCCTTGCGAAGAGTGTGCCCCAGGCACTTTTACAGACGCTTTGAATAGCAGCTCTTGTCTGGTTTGTCCTTGTCATCGCTCCACTCTGTTCTGGCCAAGCCAGACCGTTTGGACTGTGCTGAATAGTTTCATTCCTTCTCAAATGGGAACTGCTGTCCATCACCGTCATGCGTCTACTTCACGTAGGCTTGTCCCGAGGACACTTTTGAAGCAAATTATGGCAGCAGCAAGTGCACAAACTGTCTCGAGTGTGGCGTGGACCAATATCGTCTGGGATGTGGAGATGACGAGCCAGGTATGGTTACTGCAGTCGTCGAATTCCTGTTCATGGCTCTATGACTAGACTCAAGTCGTGTGACAATACCTGCCATTGCAGGTACCTGTGAGAGCTGTCCAAGCTGTCCGCAAGGCCAGTGGCGCTCCTCCTGCAATTATACCAGCGCCGGGAGCTGCAAGCCCTGCGCTCCATGTGATCCGGGCTACTTCCGTCAAGGGTGCAACTATACATCCGAAGGCACTTGTGTGGTACGCATGGTCGACCTGAGACGGCCAATTCGAACCTTCATCCTCAATTTGCCTGCCTTTTGTCTCGTGGTTTTGGCTCTCACAAAGCTGGCCGTGCGCCGCCACGCCAACAGAAATGCGAAGAAGGCTATTTTAATGATGACGATACAACTTATATTACGGCCTGTGCCATCTGCCCAGAGGCCAGTTTCCAAGATGAACAAGGACAGAGTAGTTGCAAGGTTGGCACATGTCTTCTCAGTTTGGCTTGGCTGACACAGCCACCCTCTTACAGCCCCAAGCGCCTCCCTCGGCCCAAACTGATTTCTCTCACATATCTTCCACTGGCTCGCATGCGCTTTGGCCGGTGAATACTGGATTGCAGACTTGCCCTGAGGATACTTACCAGAATCAGCCTGGGCAAATTGCTTGCATTGATTGCTCTCCGGATTGTGGTGATGGTAGCTTTCGCCAGGGCTGCGGCAGCTCGGCACCCGGTGGTTGCATGTCATGTTCGGTGCTCGGGTGCTCGGGCGGGCAATATCAAGCAAACTGCTCTGGCTTGGACATTGGTGTCTGCGTCGATTGCCTTGGGTGTGGCGTCGGCTCCATCCGAACGGGCTGTGCGGCGCGGTCGGACGGAGAATGTGAGGTAAGGGTCTGAAAGTCGGTCTTCTTTCCTCTGTTCGGCACAATTCTTTGTTTTGAAGAAATAGGAAGTAAAAGGACTCACACTTGTTTGGCCTGCGATTGCTCTGAATGCCTATCCCCAGCAATGCGCCTCAGGCAAGTTTCAACCAAGCAGCACTTATCAAACCATTTGCAGTTCCTGTGCGACAGGCAAATATCAGGATGTGGCAGGCCAGGGTAGCTGCAAAGATTGTCCTGCTCAACAGTACCAGGACCAGACTGGCCAGTCAACATGCTTAGCCTGTCCGCAGGATTGTGCTGCTGGCTCATTTCGGGACGGTTGTGGAGCGAGTTCCATGGGATCATGTACCACGTGCGAAAACGACTGTCCAGACCGCAGCTACCGCTTTGGTTGCACGGGCCTATCCCCTGGCAGCTGTGTCTCTTGTCCTACGTGTCCTGCTGGGCAAAAACGAGTCAACTGCAGCTATCTTAGCGAGGGCAGCTGTCAGGTCCGTGCTCCTCCTTGCATTTGCTCGACTTGGCGTGACAGATGGATGTACAGGTATTTATTCATAAGGTTTGGCTGGCTTTTCGAATCGTCGGGCGCAGGATTGTGAGCCTGGCACCTTTCAGCTACAAGCTTCAAATCTTGCCTCCTGCACTGCCTGCGCTTCATGCGGGCCAGGTGCTCGTCGCTTAGGCTGTGGTCTGAGCAATGGCGGTCAATGTCAGGTGCGCGTGTGAGAAGCTTTAGCTTTGCTTTGCGTTGCTCATCACGACAGTTGGCCTTCTGTCTTGATTTCTTAATCTTCGACATCTGACTTTGTCTGCTGGCTTGGACCTCTCGATCATGATAGTCGTGCGCCGAGGGTTTTTATCAAGAACAGGATGCCTATACAACCTTTTGCTACCGCTGCGCCGATCTTTATTGTAATGCTGGTACGTGATCAAAGTTGTTCTGGGCAAGAAAAAACAAACAAAAAAAAAACACATGATCGTCCTTGCGGCTCGCGCATCCCGTTACTTTCTCTCATTGTTCCACCATCTTTGGTGAACGTGTGTATACGGCAGGTTATCATCGACCGGATTGTGGTTTTAATACGAGCGGGTCATGCCAGGTCTGTCGAGTGACCGTTGCAGCCGGCTCTCTTCGAGATGGATGCCGGGCTGACGTACTGCTGTCTGTGCGTATAGGCTTGTCCAAGCAACACTTACCAGCCTTATGACGCCACCAGCACGTCCACGTGCCTTGATTGCGCTACGTGTACCACCCCTGGCCAGTATCGTGATGGTTGCGGCAGCAGTGACCCTGGGCTTTGCCGGGTATGCTTGCCTTGTGGACCTTCCCATCCTCCCAGGAACAAGAGGGAATGGTCCTGTCCTGCGTGTGCGCGTATACGACTGTATTTACACGTTGGGAGAGCGTATCGTGCCTTCACGCAGTTTGATCGTTCCCACTTGCTCTCAGGACTGCCCAACTGGCAAATTCCAGGACGACACTTCGCTGAGCGCTGGTGCCTGTAAAAACTGCCCTAGCTGTGCTGCTGGCGAATATCTGAGTGGCTGTGGTATTTCCTCACCAGGCAGTTGCCGGGTGCGTTGGTGGTTCATTTCTATTCTCCACTGCTCTTGTTGGCGCGCTCGCCCGCCTGATGCACCCTGGCTCACACCTTAGTTGTGTGCCGAGGGCACTTATCAAGATCAAGTTGGCTCTTACACATCATGCAAGGCCTGCCCCATCTGTCCTGGTGGCACGGTGTCTCAGGGCTGTGGGGGAAGTAGCAATGGGACCTGTGAGGTGAGACCTCTTTGGCTCCGGATTTCACTGCCTTTGTCGCGGCCTTTCACTCATAGCCCGACTCAATTTTCCATCCAACAACCCAACATGTACAGGCCTGCCCAGTCGGCGAATATCAGGTTGCAACCAACAATTTGGAAACGGAGTGCGACGAGTGTGGCAGTTGTAGTGCCGGTGAATACCGGGAGGGGTGTGGGGCCAGTTCACCTGGAGCTTGCAAGGTCTGTAAAGCTTTGAATCATTCATGGCCATTCGTCGTCAATCTACTTGAATCGGCGCTTTGCCGACGCACGACGACAATCTCAAGCATGTTCGGTCCGTGTCAGGCGTGCACATCCGGAAAGTATCAACTGGCGCATGACACATACCTGGATCAATGTGAGGACTGCGCTGCTGGCAGCTATGCCGCCTCAAGCGGTTCGACCACTTGCACCGTAAGTTGATGGAACGCACGCTTTGATGATCGCGAGGTGCCGTCTTTCCTGGTTGTCTGACAACGGGTCAATGGTTTTGCTACATTTGCACGCTCATCACGTCGTAGACTTGTGCAGCGAATCACTACCAGCCCGACAGCGGCCAATCGGCCTGCTTACCCTGTGAAGTGTGTCCGGATGGCCAATTTCGCGAGTCTTGCGGTCCCGTCCAGTCCGGTTCGTCCACGCGGCGCTGTTCTCGTGCACGTGTGTGGGTGGGTGTTTCTCACATGCTGTCACTCTGGGGGTCACCTAATGATTGCAACACTTTTGATATCAGGGAAATGTACCACATGCGGCACTTGCCCAACTGGTCAATTTCGCGATGGTTGTACTGGTTCAAGTCCGGGTAAGTCGCACCTAAGCAGTCACATGTGTCAACGCACGTTTTTTGCTCGGGAGTTGAACAACGCGTGATCCCTTTGCTGGTGCTTGACAATGCTTTTTCCAGGCGTGTGCCGTAGTTGTGGCATCTGCCCGCCTGGACAGTATCGTGATGGCTGTACCGGGCGCAGTGCTGGTACTTGCAAGGTCAGTATATGTTATATTTTTTCCTTCAAAAACCTTAGGTGACTCGTTCATTTCTTGACTCCCTTTTGTGTGTGTATCGTGAGTAGCTATGTGCGGCGGGAACTTATCAACCTTCCAATTCATCCGTCTCATCCTGTATATCCTGTCCGGCCGGCTCGGTTGCCGCGTCATCCGGCGCTGCCGAGTGCACGGTATGTGCCAACCTTCTGATTTCAACCAGAAATGGGCACTTCCTTTTGATCTGTTCTCGCTTTTGTGTGTGACCACGACTACTCGCTTGGTGCAGGCCTGTCCAACGAACCAGTATCAGACCGAACCTGGACAATCATCTTGCGCTGTGTGCCGTACCTGCCCAAGTGGTGAGACTTTGCAAGGGTGTGGCGGTGCCAACGACGGAACCTGCACGACGTGTGTGGCTTGCGGAACCAACCAGTATCGCAGCGGCTGTACGGGTCCGGCACCGTAAGTGGACCTGCCTTCCACGACGCATGCATTTGCACATTTTCTCTTTCAGCTCATTGTGTGTGTGTGTGTGTGTGTGTGTGTGTGTGTGTGTGTGTGTGTGTGTGTGTGTGTGACAGGGGAACTTGCCTCGATTGTGGCGCGTGCGTGACAGGGCAGTACCGAACTGGCTGTGCCGGCCTGAGTGCAGGCACCTGCAACGTAAGGCATCATTTGCAACCTTGTTCCAGCTTGGCGTGGCTGATGAGAGTGCTCATCTGCTCATCTCGGGTGGCCCTTCAGGCTTGTTTGCCAGGCACATACCAGGATGCGACCGGTTATGTAACCAACTGCAAGTCCTGTGAGGCTGGCAAGGCTCAGCCATCGGCCCAAAAGAGCTCGTGTGAAGTGAGTCAACGTCATTGAAATGCGTCTTATGACTGCTCTCACCGCATGCATTTCATGCCTAGTTCTGCGCCTCCGGCACCTATCAAGATGAGACAGGACAGGAGCAATGCAAGCAATGTGGGTCAGCCCGCATTCATGATCACCTGTCGTGATGGTTCACACCCTTGCCGGTTTTTTTAACTTTTTTGTCGGCAATTGCGCATCATTTTCTGCAGGCGCTGGATGCATTAGCGGGCAATACCGCGTTGGCTGCTCGCTGGGCTTGCCTGGCAATTGTGTGGCATGCGGGAGTTGCCCACGTAATTACCATCGCATCAACTGTGTTGGTCTCGTGGCGGGCGAGTGCAAGTTGTGTGCCACATGCCCGGCAGGCCAATATCGAAGTGGCTGTCAAAATCTCACCGAGGGGAGCTGCTTGGTAAGTGACTGAAAGCCATCGTTTTCCTTGTACTCATGACTTCCGCTGTTTCGACGTTTTTTTTTTCTTCTAACACACGCGCTTGCCTCTCCCTTTGCACACACTCTCAGGCTTGTGATGAAGGCTACTTCTCGACAGGGCAAGCATATGCTGACACGTGCACGGCTTGTTCTGCTGGCTTCTACCAAGGACAAAAGGGTAAGGATCGGTGTGTCACATTGCATCTTCTGATGTTGCAACACTCATAGACTTGCAACCATTGGGTCACGCTGCGTTAGGTCAATCATCGTGCTTGCCATGTGCCACCGACACGTATCAGCATGCCACGGGCCAATCGGCTTGCTTAGCCTGCCCGTCCTGCAGTGAGGGCACCTACCGGGTGGGCTGTGGGGCTGCTAGCGAAGGTAGTTGCCAGACATGCCAGACGTGTAGCGATGGCTCGTATCTTGTTGGGTGCTCGGGTACATCTCGTAAGTTTGACGTTTCTGCATCTCTTGAGTTTATCCAAGCTGGTTTTCTTTGGTCAAACGGGATTGCATTCATCATGTCTTGCCTTTTGGTATGTTGTGCTTGCGCTGCAGCGGGTGCTTGCGTTTCCTGCGACGCCAGCAGATGCGCCCCGGGCGAATATCTGGCTGGCTGCACCGGCACTGATGCAGGCAGCTGCGTTGCGTGCGCTTCGTGTGAGCCAGGCAAATATCGAAGCGGATGCAGTGCACGCAGCGAGGGCACTTGCAGGGTATGCATTGCACTGTCAAACGAGCCTGTTCCGCTGTCGATTGCATGCATGGCCAGGAGAAGTCAACATTTTTTGCTGCGGGCTGGTTCATTTTGATTGATGAAATTTTGAAACGTGCGTAGGACTGCACTGCAGGGTTTTATCAACCCAACACTAGCCCTGTGACCTCATGCACTCGCTGTCCAGCCGGCAAATATGGTGACCAGACTAGCTTGCCAGCTTGCAAGGTGAGTAGCGCGCTGTCAAATATATTGAGGTGGTAATTTGGGTCTTGATTTTCTGGAGTTTGACTTTTGATTGCAGCCAGTTAAATTTGTCAGAGCTTTGATGTGATCTTTTACTCACGCAAGCATGATCGCTTGCAGGACTGTGCGGCGGGCAAGTACTCGGCGGCGACAGGCGCACAAACTCAGACAACCTGTGAGAGTTGCCCTACTGGCAGATATTCGGCTGCAAGCTCGACCTCTACAAATGACTGTCTCTCCTGTTTGGCGGGGACTTATTTGGATGGTGTCGGCACGTCTCCATCGGATTGCAAGGCCTGCCCTGCCGGTCAGTCCTACCTTTTCGCTTCTGAAATTTGTTTTGTGTTGTTCCTCAAGCTCGAGTGCCATTCTCGAGTGCTAATGCCACGTACTTTTGGGTGGGGTGGGGCATCAACAGGGACTTACTCTTCAGCTTTGGGAGCCAACTCATTGGCTCAATGCCTCAATTGTCCGGGTACGACGTGACTGCGCTGACTGCTTGATTTGATTTTCAACGTATTTTTGTGTAACCATGTCTCTGATGTTGAGCTGGGGTTAGAGTGGGAAGAGGGGTTGCCTTAAGTGTTGGTATTTCTTAGTGACTTGATGGTGTGAGCGTCTGGACTTTACGTATTGGTGCTGACGCTTGCCTGTGTAATGATTTTATTGTGTTTTGTTTTGTTGTGTTGCCATTTAAAAAAAATAGCTGGTAAGTACAGCAGTGCCACTGGTGCAAGTAGCGCTGCAGCCTGCACAGCGTGTCCCACGGGCCGATATGCACCGGCCGGATCCACAAGCGTCAATGCTTGCACAAGTTGCCCAGCGGGTACCCAATTGGCAACTTTGGGCGCATCTGAAGCCGATTGTGCGGCATGTCCTGGAGGCAAGTACTCCGCCGCAGGCTCTGCTAGTTGCACGGACTGCTTGGGCGGAACCTTCTCCTCCTCGCGGGCGGAAGCATGTGGTGTCTGCGAGGCAGGTAAATTTTCGTCACAATCTGCAACGACTTGCACCAATTGCGACCGGGGAAAAACCTCGGCTCAATCAGCCTCCAGCTGCGATGCTTGCGCTGCGGGTAAATACGCCGATCAAACTGGCAGCCCAACCTGCAAGACGTGCGAGGCGGGCACATATTCCCGTCTGGGACAGTCCAACTGCACTAGATGCAGTGATGGCCACATCAGCACCGCCATGGCCACTAGTTGCACTCGCTGCGATGCTGGTACATACAGCAATTTGGGCCACACGGTCTGTAGCGCATGCGTGGCCGGCACCACGTCCAATCTTCTACGTACGGGCTGTGTTCAGTGTGGCACGGGCACGTATGCCGATGAGGATGGCTTGCCGGCCTGCAAATCCTGTCCCATGTGCGGACCAGGCACCTTTTCGGTTGGCTGTGGCCTCGACTCGGCGGGAACTTGTCAGGTACGCAGGCCTTCTAAATAGTGTGCCCGCACCAAATGTCAGCCCCAACATCACAGACTTTGAATCTTGCTTCATCAATTTGTACACGCCTGATTGAATGGTAGCCGTTTGCATGCTGTCTTCTCACTACCTGTTCAAACTTAGGCTTGCTCGGGCGATACCTATCAACCAGTAGAGGCCTATGTGACCTCGTGTGTGAGCCGGCGACTCTGTGTGGCTGGGCAATACGCGCCAGTCGCGGTGACGCCATCCACCAATCGCGTTTGCCAGAGCTGTCCAGCCGGTACGTTTTTACAAAAGGATCCATGTCGCAGGCACACGGTTGCTCCTTGTGACATGAAGTTGGAAGAGAACGCACGCACACACACACACACACACACACACACACACACACACACACACACATACATACACGCGTGCAGGGAAAGTTTTGGTTACTCTTTTTGGCTCAACCCTCAAGAGCAAAATGGTGTTCCTCAGGCCAAATACAACCGTTGACGAGCCACGCGGAGATGTCTTGCACACGTTGCCCTGTCGATACGATTGAAAGTGGCAATGTATGCAACGGTAAGTCTTAGCTCCGGGAAAAATGAAACCGACTTTTTGTTCCCGCCCTGATGTCCCCCTCTCATCCAGGCCCTGTACCTTGTGTCCTTTGGGCTCACCTAAAAATAAATACATGTATATGGCAGCATGCGAGCGTTCAATCGGATTTTACCAGGATCAAACAGGGCAGACTGAATGTTTGCAATGTTCGGCAGGCTACTATCTTCCCTCAACTGGTAGGAATGGCCAAACGTGCCTTGCTGTTTTTTTGCCTGTGGGCCGTTTGCGCTAGAGCCTGGCTACCACCTCACGTTATAACGATGCTAGGCGCCTGTGCTCAGTGCCCTGTGGGGAAGTATAAACCAACCCGAGGGGGCGTTCTCGAGAACTGCCTTGGCTGTCCGGCCGGCCAATACTCTGGTGAGTGCGGCTTCGTCATTTTCTTTGCCCTTTTTGGCTTACACTCGTGGGTATATTAACATGACGGTTGTCTGATGCGTCTGGTGTGCCTGATGCGTTGGGACTTTTTAGATACGTTGGGTGCCACAAGCTGCAAGGCTTGCCCCCAGAACACGTATCAAGGCGGCTCGGTCAACAATGCTGCGACAGTGCAGTGCTTGCCCTGCCCTGCTGGCCAGGAGCAGTTCCAAACGGGCCAGGCCTCATGTGTCAATTGTGCGGCGGGCAAATTTAAGGCAAACACTGAAGCTGCATTTTGCACCATCTGTCGTACCGGTTACTCGGTTGTGGATGCTCGCACGGCCTGCCGTGGTATGTTGCATGGCTGCAGCTTAGCCTTCGTGTGACGCGTGCTCTTGTGTTATCATGCACCTGCCCTCACTTTGACGACGCCTTTTTTTTTTTTTTTTCTGGCAGACAATACGCCACCGGTTGTGACGATCTTTACCCCCAACCCTACCTACCTGCAACAATTTGAACCTGTTCCCACTCTCAATTACAGCGCGATTGATTCAAGCGGCGATGAGGTGTTTGTGACCTCCCGTGGCATTGTCGACAATAGTACGTCCCTCATTGTTCATGTTTGCGCGCTAGAGCGTGTTCAGTGGGATAGAAACCGTTTGTTCTCCTATCACCAACACTGATCACACCCATCTATTGCTCGTTTGACTTGGTGACTGGCCATAACAGCGGTTCAAGGCACCTACCTTGTTCGGTTGACGGCGACGGACATCTCTGGGTGAGTCGGGCTTATCGAGTGTCCGAATTCATTGCATACTGGCTTTTATGTTGGCTTTGCTTTCCTCATTCTCCCTCTTTTTAATGATGAATTAGCAATGAGGCCGTGGTAACATGGCAGGTGGTCATCGACGATCCGGACGCCCCGCAAATATCCCTGATTGGCGCTTCGTCCATCACACATGAGGCAGGCACGCCCTTCAGCGATCCCGGCGCCACCATTTTCGATAACCTGCAGGGCGACTTGACCGGTCGACTGGAGAGCGATGCCCGAACCACGGTCAACGTGAATGCCTTGGGCATTTACACTGTCACCTATCGTATGTCCGGCACGGATGACCAAGGCCTGACAGCAACGCCGATCTCACGCCTCGTAGAGGTGATCGATACCATCAACCCGGTTGGTGCACACGTGCCCTGCTCTGGTCCTGTTGACAGGGTGCAGACGGTGCTTGCTGCGCTGTTGGGGCGCTTTTTGCCTTCTCTAATTTGATGTGCTGTTTTTTCTTGCACTTTGGCGTTTGGTCGACTAGGCTATCTGGATTGTGGGTAACGATCCCTTGGAGGTGGAGGCTGCTGTGCCATACCGGGATCCGGGCGTCGTTGCAATCGACTCCTTTGAGGGGAACATTACTGCCAAGGTCAAGACGAACTTGATTGTGGACACCAAAGTGCCGTCGGGTTACTTTTACAACCTTGTTTACACCGTGGAGGATGTGTCCAGGAACACAAACGCCACGACACGTACCGTCGTCGTCCGAGATACTCGCCCTCCGGTCATCACGATCCGCGGCAGCAACCCCGTCACTCATGAGGCTGGGGTGATCTATGTGGACAGCTCTGCGACAGCGCTTGATGCTAATGATGGCAGCCTGTCCGTGAGCTCGAGTGGTACTGTGCCGTGGGACTCAACCAAGAGTGTCAAGAGCGAGCACATCATCACGTACACTTCATCGGATGCAGCCAATAACCGGGCCACAGCCGAACGGACAGTGGTGCTGATTGACTCGCCCCCAACCCTGACGCTTGCCGAGCCCACAGAAATGAGAATCCCCTTTGGCACCATTTATCGCGAACCCGGGTACGGAGCGACGGACATTCGTGACGGCGATCTATCAAGCGAGGTGATTGTGACCAACTCTTCCATCATCAACCTCGAAAAGGCAGGTCGCTATGAATTGGTCTACCGCGTTTATGATCAGCTGGACAGCGAAGCCCGTGCAACCCGCACCATTGAAGTTGAAGACTTTGAGCTACCGGAAGAGAGCTTTCGAGCCCGCTTCACAGTGGAAGGAACGCTGAATAGCCTGCCCTCGGCGTCTGAGCTCGACAGTGTTTTATCTGCAGCAACAAATTCGTTTGCTTTTGTCGTCACACGCCGCCTGAAGACTGCCACCAACGATGATTTCAATGAATTGCCCAGCAGTCGTGTCAATCTAAGGCGACGTCGCCAAAGTGCAGGGTCACGTGGTGGTGCGCGTCAACTATTGGCCACGGAGGTTATCATCGAGGTGGTCGCTCGTCGTCGAACTGACTTTGAGTACATGGATGCTCTCACAATCATCAACCTTGTGGGTGACAAGGAAGGAGCTTCATCGCTCATCGGGGCCGAGGTTAAGTCTGCCAAAAGCGCAGCAGCTTCATCGTCGTCCACCTCGACAGAGGGGGGCCTGATCGCCGGAGTAGTTGTTAGTTTGCTCTTGTTGGTGCTGGTGCTGGCTGGGGCGCTCCTTTACCGGCGTCGTTACTTACGTTCACCCATCGAGATTGAGAAGCGTAAGTCCGTGGCCAAGTTCAACGATCCCCGCAAGCGAACAGAGACGACGGCCATGATGCATAATCCCCTCTTTGCGCAACGCATCGACAATACCATGGGCTCCAATGCATCCAACCACAATTATGAGTCGCCGCTAGATGTTGGGTTGCCGGGTCGGCCAACAACGGCCTCGACTACTGCCGGCGAGGACCCCTTTGCCGCGTATTCTACCGAGCCCGTGCAGATGCATCAGTCGTCCTTTGGCATGGTGCCGATGGCGCGCGACCTCCGAGGTTACGAGCAGCCCAATGCACCTACAGACACGTATGATCAACCACGCTCTGCGGACATGCTTGACGACGAGCGCCCACTAGATTTTACGGCGCTCTTGTCTGCAACGGACGATGAGCCTACGGGATGGGACGAGGATTCGGACACGGACGCTCCGCCTCGCCCACCCAAAGCGTTTGGCGGGCATCACATCTCCGGTGCTGCTGCAGGTTCAAGCGCAGTGGATTGGGGTGCGCCGGTGGTTGAGACGTTGTTGGCTCAGGCAGAACGCCAATCTGCGTTTATGGGTCCAATCGGGCGCGAGGAGACCACTGCCAAATTGGCACCCTTCGAGGCCGGCACATATCTGCTGCGTTACAGTTCCACGACGTCGACGGTGGTCATTTCCTTCAAGACCACCAGCACCAAGGTGAAGCATTTTCCCATCGAACTCAAGGATGGCGTGCTCTGCGTGGACAAGAAGGAGGTGGATGGCGTGGACTCGCTCGAGGCATTGCTGGCGTTGTTGAAGGTGGACGACAGCTTTTTGGGCATCTGCATCACATGCATGCCCACGGATCCTAGCGCTGAGATCTATCAAAACAAGAGCAGCCAGGAAACCTGGTACAAGGGCAATATCACGCGCGGAGCGGCGGAGCAAATGTTGCGCAACCAACCGGATGGCACCTTCTTAGTTCGCAAGCGTGACACTGACTCGTACGCCATCAGCATGATTTTCGATCGCAAATTTTCACATCACTTGCTGGATGTGCGCCCTGGTGCCCCGGTTCTCATCAACAAAGCCGAGGGACTGAGTTCCACGACGCTGGAGGATGCCATCCAAGAGCTCAAGTCCGTGATGGGTCCAAAGCTTCCTTGTTTGTTGGGCGCGGCATGTCCCTAAAGTGGCTGCCCACTCCGTCAAACCTCCGTCAGGTGCCTTGAACGATCATCTAATTTTGTTTGCTTGTCATATACCCTCTTTGTCATGCGCTCAGCGTTGCCCCACCGTCATGCTTGTATCTTCTCTTTTTCTTTTTGCAATGCCATCTGGGACTGATGACAGGTCGCCACTTGCTCAACGGTGTTGAGTGCTCTTGTTTTGATTTTTGTCTTGTGTCGTGTTGTTATTTTCTCTTTTTGATTTTTCCTTGACTTTTCCAGTGTTTCTGGGTTTTTCTTCCTGACTCTGTCTTGGCGATGCAGGAGCAAGAATCGATGCAATCGTCCATCGGGGTCAGAGTCGGGTTCTGTTGTCTCGTGCATGTAGCCAACAACATGAAAAGGGATGGTGTCCCCAGTCAAAGGCAGGCTTGTTGCCATCACCATTCGAAGACGGTGAGATTGAAGGGCCATTTTTTCCAAAGGTCAAATTTGGGAAAGAAAAAGAAAAGAAAAAAGAGGGGGAGGAGAAAGCAGAGGGGATGAGCAAAAAAAGTAATGATCGGGAAAAGAGCTAATGGAAAGCGGGTGAGGCCACGCGAGCCTCTACCCAAGGGTAGAATTGGTGGTGCAAATGAGTCTTGTTTAGGTTAGCAGAGATGTGGGAAGGAGAGAACATGTGCATGTCTGGCCTCGAGACCAAGCCTGGCACACGAATGGGCCTGCAGCTCCGAGTCAAAGGCAAAAAAAGTAGGATTGTTTACTTGAGCTGCTTGAAAAGCTTCTGGGACACCTGTTGGGTCGTAGAGAGGGTTTTGAGCCCGCCGGGAGCGGGAGTGGCAGAGACACGCAAGTGAGGGCGAGAAGACAGCGTATTTCAAGTCAGGGCCGGACGTGTTGGTTTATGATGCGAGCGGGAGGTGCAAGGCACAAAAGCACGTACGCAGTGATCGACACAGTGGAGGAAATCAAACAGTTCCTGAACGCAGGTCTCTTCTGTGTTGCTTCGGCTTGACACGCGGGCCTCGCACTTCTCAAGCTCAGCCTTGTACTTGGTGCAGTGCGAGGCACAGCCCTCACGCACAGCATCCACGGGGTCCTCAAGCTCCTCCTCTTCCTCCTCCTCTTCCTCCTCTGCCTCGGGCTCCTCTGCCTCGGGCTCCTCCTGGGGGAGGGGTGAAGGGTTTTGATTGTTTCATGTGAGTGTTCTCGAGACGAGAAGCTGACAGGAAGTAAGGTTCAAGTAGGAGTTTGTCTCCGTGTACGAGCACAAATAAAAGCTTCGCCTCAAAGGTTGAAAAGGGACCCACCTCGGCGTGGACAGTGCCGAACACGTAGTCGAGCAAGCTCATGATGGCCTATCAGCAATGCCACATGCGGTGCCAACGGGTCAGAAAACTGAATGGAGAAGGAGGCTTTCAAGGTGGCGAGCTGAGAGTACTGGTCATGCAAATGAAGCTGCAACACGAGTGGTCCAAGCGAGGTGATATCATGCCAGGGTAGGTGTGATGGTGCCCTTTGTCCTGATCTGGCCTGCGCCATGCTACCCAGGGCCGCCTGCCTTCTCCGGGAGACGACGAGGCGCTGGCCAGTACACTCCCCAGGCATTCCAGTTGCATTTGTAGTGGCGGCAAGAGCGAGGGTCTGGCCTGCAGCCAACATCATCTCATGCCCACCAACCCCAAACATATTTTACTCCAAACGAGCAGGTCTTGTGCCTCAGTTTCAGTGGCACTGCCCTCTGGACCAAGGGTCCAACGCATGCGCTCATCCACCGCCGGCGCTGCCCTTTTGATGTCAATGTCTCTGTCTGTCTGTGTGTGTGTGTGTGTGTGCGGGTGCAGGGGAAGGGACTTACAGTTGGTAGCAAAATCGTTGGGAAAAAGGCGTGAAAAGGTGAAAATAGCACTTGGACGTCAAGGGCGCCAGGTTACGGTGCGCCCGAGGCAGAACAACGCGTTGGTTGATCGTGTTACAACTTTGTGTTGCGTTGAAAGTGTGACAATTGGTACAGTTAATTAATGGAATGGTTTCCCAGCTCGTCCTGACGCTGCACGTGTTGCTTGTGTGTGTGTGTTGGGCTGAATTGTCAGACAACCGGATCGGATGTCAGCATATCCTCAAGGGGGGTCATGCCATGGCTAGACATTACGTTTTGACCGACGGGTGAGAGAGAGAGAAAGAGACAAAAAAACGACAGTCATCGTTGGCGAACAAAAGAGAGAGAGATAGGGCTGGAACAAGGAACATAAACAGAGACAACGAAAGAATCATGATGAGCTATAGTGTAGAAATCAAGCTCGAAACAGAGAACAGAAGAGAGCAGGCCCCCTCGTCCAGAGAGGGAGCGCAAGTCAAACCCACACACATTCTCACACAAAATCCTTTTTCACGAGTCAGCGCGCTGGCCCGAGAGAGAGAGAGAGAGAGCTGCAGCTGAGCTGAGCTGTGAGCTCTGAGCCGTATGTACCCCGTACCCCCCCGTGTACCCCGGTTTCCCCGTGTGCTGAGAGTTCGTTTGAGGCAACGTGAGCTGACTGGTGTCGCCTGGTTGGGTGCTTCGTAGTCGTGGAACAGCAGCGGTGCAGCAGCAGCAGCTGTGGAGTGTGAATGGGAGCGGAGTGCCCAGTTCACTTTCTGCCTGGGCTGGAGATAGAGTGCGGCGGTGAGAGGCCAGCAGCCAGACTGCGAGCTAGCTAATGGGTCCATCTGCCCTGGTTCCCAACTCACCAATGCCCTGATGCGACTTGACCCGTTCACTAGATTTTTTTGTAGCTGCGCTGTAATTCGATCGCAAGCCATGGCGTCTCGCTCCTCTGCTAGCGCAAGCTCGGGCAGCGACAGCGAGGATGCCCGATCAGACCATAATGCGCGTCGGTGTGTCATTCGCCCTTTTTGCTCAGTGCAAGCACCATGTGGAACATGCCCGTGTCTTGAACGGCAGCACCTCGCCTCGGCTCCCCTTCTAAAATCATCGTGCAGCCATGCATTCACAATGTGCCTGCGTCATGACTCGCCGTGTCACTGTACAGCCCGCCTGCATCCAACGGCGATGCGCGGGCCAGTCCCGCACGCCGGCGCAGTGGAAGCCGCAGTCCCCGCCAACGCAGTCGCAGCCGCAGCCGCAGCCGCAGCCCCCGTACGTGACAAGTTGCTGACCACGCGCATCTTGGCTTGTCACCTCCTCACCATGACACACTGCCTTTGGCCACCTTGTTCGTAGCTGGTCGAGATGAGGATCGTCGCCGCAGTCCCGGTCGCCGCAGTCCCGTTCGCCGCAGTCCCGGTCGCCGCAGTCCCGGTCGCCGTAGTCCCGGTCGCCGTAGCCCCATTCGTCGCAATCGTAATGACCGCGACCAATTGGTCCCTGCCGAAGACCCGCAGGACATGGCGCGTGCTCGCGGCAAGACCAAGAGCGAGCCCAATCCCATTCTCACTCGTGCTGGTTGGTCGCATCCCTCTTGGTATTGATGTTGTTCTTTCCTTTTCAACCAAGTCGACGCCTAGTCTCATGATTCTCTCCAAACGCGTTGCATTGCCCCCCGCTCGCCATGCCCCTCCCCTGCTTATTCTCCAAGGTGGCGCCTACATCCCCCCGGCTCGGCTACGCATGATGCAAGCCGAGCTCAAGGACAAGAACAGCAAAGAATTTCAACGTGCGTGTGTGAAACAATGCTCATTGCAGGTTCCACCCCATTGTGTGCTTACGTCCGTCATCCTGTTCATCTCCGCTCGTAGGTATGGCTTGGCAAAGTCTGAAAAAGTCGATCAATGGTTTGATCAACAAAGTCAACGTTCCCAACATTCAGCAAATTGTTGTCGACTTGCTTGGTGCCAACCTCGTTCGCGGCCGTGGCCTCTTTGCGCGTGCTTGCATGAAGGCTCAGGCTGCTTCGACAACCTTCACCCACGTTTACGCCGCTCTTGTGGCCATTATCAACACGAAGTTTCCTCAGCTCGGCATGCTGATCCTCAAGCGCCTTGTGCTTCAGGTATGCCCCCGCACTACAATCTCCCGTTTTGTTGTCACAATTTACCTGGTTACCGCGTCTCACTGTCCTGCCGCGTGTGGCACATCTCCAGTTTCGCAAGTCTTATCGTCGCAACGACAAGCAAGTGTGCCTCAACACGGCCAAATTCATCGCCCATCTTGTGAATCAACAGGTTGGTGTGAGCCTGTACCAGCGTGGCTGGAATCTTGCTTCCAGAGGCACTCTCCAGTTGACCCTGCCCGTGTGGTGCTCTTCCTAACAACTCTTTTGGTTTTCGCCGGCAGGTGGCGCACGAGATCTTGGCACTTGAAGTGATGGTGCTCTTGCTCGAAAAGGCTACGGATGACAGCGTGGAAGTTGCCATTGCTTTCCTGAAGGAATGTGGCCAGTACCTCACGGATGTGGCTCCCCGGGCTCTGCACAATATTTTCGAGCGTTTGCGAAGCATCCTGCACGAGGGCGAGGTCGAGAAGCGATCCCAGTACATGATTGAAGTCATGTTCGCCGTGCGCAAGGACGGCTTCAAAGACAATCCCATCATTCCCGAAGGACTGGACCTGGTAACGTTTTGCTATTGCATATAATAGATAACACTGCCATCCACGCGCCATCCTCTTGCATTGAAGCAAACATGCCTCGTTCTTGCCCTCACCAACGCTGACCTGGCCCGGGCTCGCAGGTGGAGGAGGCTGATCAAATCACTCACACCGTTAGCTTGGACGAGGAGATCAACCCCGAAACTGGCCTGGATGTCTTCAAGGTGAGCCACGCAGCGTGCTCTACTAGCCCTTCTGCTCGTGGGCGTTATCCAACTGACTCTGTGTGCGACACCATCGTGACAGTACGATCCAGACTACGAGTTGAACGAGGAGCGTTACAAGGAAATCAAGGCAGAGATTCTCGGTGACTCAGATTCAGATGGTGATGATGAAGAGGGCAGCGATGAGGAGGAGTCAAGCGATGAGGAACAGGCCGCCCCGCCACCACAACACACTGGGCCAGGTGGTCGCGACCAAGAGCGCGTCCGCATTGAGGACATGACTGAGACCAATCTGATTGCCCTCCGCCGTACCATCTACCTCACTTTGAAGTCTTCCCTCAACTTTGAGGAAGCTGTACACAAGTTGATGAAGATGACCTTTCGCCCAGGCCAAGAGGTATGCCTCCTTTGTTCATTTGTCGTACGCTTCACAAGCTCGTACAATCATCTCACAGAATATATACACCGCACGCGCGACTCTTGCCTTGTCCTGCGACTGACCTTTCATGGGTAATCATAGGGTGAGATTGCCAATATGGTCATCGAATGCTGCGCGCAAGAGCGCTCGTACATCAAATTTTTTGGCCTACTTGCGCAGCGTTTTTGCGAACTCAACCGCGACTTTCAAGATAAGTTTGTGGAGGTGTTTGCTGAACAGGTGAGACTCGTCGTGTGCAGTCTGCAGAAGATACACGGGTATGCCACGCGCGATGCCACTCACCTCGCTCTTTTTCGTGTGTGTTCTTTCAGTATGAGACTGTGCACCGACTTGAGACCAATAAGCTGCGACAGGAGGCCAAGCTCTTTGCCCATTTGTTCTTCAGTGATGCGATCCCTTGGACCGCTTTGTCCGTGATTCACCTTAACGAGCGTGATACCACCTCCAGCAGCCGCATCTTCATCAAGGAACTGTTTCTCGAAATTTCGCAGTTCATGGGACTCAAGCGCCTGCTGGATCGCCTCCGTGACCCTTCGCTGCGCCGGGCTTTCGAGGGATTGTTCCCACTCAATGACCCGCGTGACACACGTTTTGCTATCAACTTTTTCACTACCATCGGTTTGGGTGCCCTGACGGACGACATGCGCACGCACTTGAAGAATGCTCCCAAGCCCGTACTTAACCGTACGGCCCCGTCGTCCTCCTCTTCTAGCTCCAGCAGCAGTGATAGTGATAGCGACAGTGGCAGCAGTAGCAGTAGCAGCGGCAGTGGTAGCAGTAGTAGTAGCAGCAGCAGCAGCAGCAGTCGAAATGACTCACGCAGGCCCTCGCCTCGTCGTGCACCCGCGCCTGTGTCTGCACAAGATGGTGCCAACCCTGGCCGTCGGTCCCGGTCTCCGCCCCGCCGATCCCGGTCTCCGCCCCGCCGCTCCCGGTCTCCACCCCGCCGCTCTCGGTCTCCGCCCCGCCGTTCTCAGTCTCCGCCCCGCCGCTCTCGTTCTCCACCCCGCCGATCCCGGTCTCCACCCCGCCGCTCCCGGTCTCCACCCCGCCGCTCTCGGTCTCCGCCCCGCCGTTCTCAGTCTCCGCCCCGCCGCTCTCGTTCTCCACCCCGCCGATCCCGGTCTCCACCCCGCCGCTCTCGTTCTCCACCCCGCCGCTCTCGTTCGCCTGCCAAGGATTCCAGCAACGGTGCGCCCGTTGGCTTGCACCCAGAGCGTCTGGCGATGCTGCAAGGTGGGGCAGCTGGAGGCCCTCCTCGCAGGGGGGGACCTCCTGCCCGAGGACGGCCACGCTCTCCCCCACGTCGGCGCCGAGACAGCCGTTCTCCCCCACGCCGCCGCCGAGACAGCCGTTCTCCTCCACGCCGCCGCCGAGATAGCCGTTCTCCGCCTCGTGGCCGCCGAGATAGCCGTTCTCCGCCTCGTGGCCGCCGAGATAGCCGTTCTCCGCCTCGTGGCCCTCGCTCTAGTCGTTCGCCGCCACGCAGCCCGCCTCAGCGCCGGTACGTCTTCACACCGTCGTTGGTTTTTTGCCATTCATCCTCGCCCTCCACCCTGTTCTCCACTCATGCCTCTTGTATGTGTATCCCCACCCTTACTCCCATTAAGCTCTCCTGGTGGAGGACGCTCGCCGTCGCCCAAGCGCGCCGATCGTCGCGAGTAGGCAAAGGCTTTCCCGGGAGTCATGACTCGGCGTCACACTTGTGGAACTCTTGAATGAATTGCTTTGTTTTGCAATGGGTGCTTCTGTTCTACCATCCGCCGCTCTGTTCATCAATCGAGCTGAGGAATGCTGTGTGATTGTCAAGTTTGCTGCCTTTTTACCTCTTCCCCTCTCTTGCTTATTCACTCTCTTTAATGATGACATTGCCACGCTAGCCTCTTCCATCAGCGGCCGCAATCCAAAAGTTAATAACGTGACCTTTTTTCAACATGAATTGCACAAAGCAGAAAGGATGATATTTGTGCCCTTTGAAGCTCATGGTCTACAATTCTCGGTCAAATGCCCCACGCTTGTGCAGGTGAAGCCCCGAAGCTTCAAAGTCCAGCAGTGCCGGCCTGAACACATCCGGTTTGCGTTGCATTGCAGCCAACATGAGCACCACAATCTATTCGATTCAAGGAAAGGAAGCAATGTCATGATGAGTTTTGTACATAGCCACGCCGCCCCCAACCCTCGACGCATGCTGGCCAAACCTCGGCATGGCCCGCTTGCTCGGCGAGTTCTACGGGGATTTCTCCGACCGGATTGATATTGAAAAGCTGGGACGACACCTAGGCATAACCGAAACAATGGGCATCTGGATGTACTTGGCCAGAACAGGGTGCGGCGCATGTATGTGAAAATGGTGACTTGGAGACGAACCGCAGGTAAGGTCAAGAGCCACTGAACTACATCTTTGCGACCAAAATGTGCAGCCTTTGCCAAGGTACCATGACCCCAATGATTGAGTCGCTGGAAGGGCAAGTGATGGCAGGTTGCAGTGAGAACAGTTTTGCCAGTATGCCTTTCTTCGACTGCCCCGCTTCCATACCGTGAAATCAGCCTGCCGTTGATACAGCCAATGACAAATGTCCAGATTGCCACCAGCAGCTGCCCAAATGGCACTGTTGCAGCCGGCATTGCTCAACGTCTCAATGTGAAAGTGCAGTTCATCCACCAGATACTGTATTACGGGCAGATGCCGCCCCCATACTGCGCGGGCCGATAACACCAACAGCACGCTTGTGAAATCAGGCAGAGCAAGTCGACAATACCGCGCCAGATGTCAGGGCACTTTCAAGCCAGCCTGCGCCCTACCAGCCCAATGCAGACAGCTCACGCCCTTCTTGGTGACAGCTTGAACGTCGGCGCCCGCAGAGCACAGCGCTCTAAGGGAAACAACGGGGGAGGGGAGGGGGGGGGGGGGGGGGGGGGGGGTTTTTTAAAAAGGGGTTTTTTTTGA